CTGCCCGCGCCTCTCTCCCTGTGCCCTAGGAGGTGAGTGGAGGAAGATGAATTCCCAGCAGCAGAGGATGGCCGCGATAGGAACTGACAAGGAGCTGAGCGACTTGCTGGACTTCAGCGCGGTAGGATATTCTCCGAGGTCTTCCATGGCTTCTGCGTGGTAACGCGAGCTGAGGAGTAGGGGCAGCAGCGCACAGGGCTTGGCTGGGTCCGGCTCAGCCAAGTTGGACACCTGAACTTTGATGTAATGTCTAGACTTCCAGATTTAATACTGTAATACCAGCTGGGTCAATTGGTTTAACTGGTTAAAATCGGGCTGACCCAGTGATGGCATAATCTAATAATTAACATTCGTTAAGCTGGTGTGTGGCATGAGTACTTTAGCTTTTTTTTCCCCCTTTTTAATCAAAAGTAAATGTAATGCCTGTAAATAAGAGAGGTTATTCATTGATCGTTTGGGCTTAGAAAATTACAGATATTTTCAATGTGATACATTTAACACATTTCAGAAATATGCTTGATTTATAAACATAATAGGAAACTACTGCCTCCCAAAAGCTGTCTGTATCCAGTGTCACTAAACACAGATCCATAAGAAATGTATTTTGAGTAGCAAAATTTAAGATCTATAATAACTATTTGAAACTGTTATAGTAGTAGTAGGTCTCCTTTTAATTTTTTTGAGTTGCTTAAAGTTGTTTAAAGAGATGTTAGTGGTATCAGTAAATTGTAAGGAGTACTTTAGCTGTTTGGTTTAAGGGTCTAAGCATGCATCTTGTGTTCTGTTCATTGTCTCACAGAAAAATGGATCGTTTCCTATTAACTGTTTTTAAGTTTACATTAATAATTTAGCACTGAGTTTCAAAGCCAGTTTAAACACATCTTTTTTTCTTGTTTTGCAGATGTTTTCCCCACCTGTTAATAGTGGGAAAACCAGACCAACTACACTAGGAAGCAGCCAGTTCAGTGGATCAGGTAGGATGCACCCGAGATACAAAAAGTTCATGTAACTAGGTCTTGATGCTTTAGCTTAGTATTTACGTGCTTCAAGTATGGTAATTTTTCATTTGTGCTTATTCTCATAAGACCTTCAGGTTAATTAGAGATGTGCTGTTTTGATCTAACACATTTTGTTAACCACAGTTTTCCTCTATATGCCTTAGACTACTTGTCCCAGTACAGTGAAGCGTTAAGTATCTCTAGTCATACTGACATGCAAGTTGTCTGTTTATCTGTAATGTTAAAAATGAAGGGCTGCTTTGGTTTTGTTTATTTGATAAAACCAAACCTACCTGTTCGGTTGAAGTATTTCCTATCCCCTGCATGAAAACAGAAAACAAAAATCAAGTGCCAAATAATGAAATACTCTTCACTCGAGGATGTATTTTAAAATGCAGTTCAGAAGGAAAACGTAAGGCTAAAACAATTCCCTAGTGCTGTGTAGTTCTCCAAGTCTTGACAAATTCTGGTGTTGACTCTTTATCACTGAATCCGGAAAACAAGTAACTGTGTTTACATGTGGCATGTACATTGTGGCTTCAATGTCTTCTCATGAAGTCCACCTAATGGCTCCTTTCAGAGACTTTGAACTGAAGCCTGTAATAGGAAATAAGTGCAATTTTTTATCTTTGTATCATTTTTGGATGTATTTGTTACCACTTCCAGAAGAGAAACTAAGAGAAACTTTTTGATAATGTGTTTTTTATGTATGCTTATTTTCTGCGGATACAATGAAGCGATGTTTTTGTTTTTGTGAATATGACAAAGTGATGTTTGTGTTTTTAGTTCAAGTTAATGAAAATTAATTTTTAGAATGGCTGTACAGGAGTGAAGTAGTTGCTGGAAGTTGAGCAGTAACGTTGCCTGTTTGCCTCTTACAAAGCTCTTGTCAGAGCTGTTACTTTGGGAGTCCATATGACACTTTGCATCTTAGTGATACTTCAGAATTTTTGTTTTTAAAAGCATCTTAAAGCTTCTGAATTGTATAATTTTGCAAACTCTTCAGAGACTATCTTCCATGTCTAATTTAATGAATATAGGTCGCAAATGTTGTGATTGTAACATACTTACAGAAGCATTTTACTTTTTCTCCTCTAAAGTATGTAAGTGGTTTTGCCTTGCTCTTTTAAAGTCAAATTTAAATTATTGGCAATAGTAAGACAACAAATCCATATATGATGTAGTTAATTTTTTTTAAATTACCAATATTCAAGATACTTGTTTCTCAAAAGTGTGTTTTAAAAGGCATTCAGGCAGCTAAAACTTACTGTGGGGACACCACAACCTGAGCATCTCCTCCTCTTTTCTCCTTGTTTTTCCTGAATGAGTAGAATGATTTTCTGTTGAATAGTAAAGTTTTCATTTTTAGGTTAGCTCTTAAATCAGTCTTAGGCAATGTGGCTGGTCCTGTTTGTAGGTAATGTTTCCCTTCTTTCCTTGGATGGCTCAGAAGAAGAGATGATGCCAGAATACTTAGTATTTTGGGAGAAACAGTGTTAGTGACTCCTGGAAGTTTCTTTACCAATATGGTATATCAGCACACAGATACCAATCATGAGCAACGCACTGCAGCTGTCAAACGAGCTACAAGCTCAGTTGAATTCCCCTTGGAAAAGGTAATGGTATATAGTTGTAGGTTTTAATTCAAAACATTTCTAGGTGCAGAGATTTTCTGGTTAGTGGGATTATATGCTCCAATTCTTGTAATGTTACAACCTAAGTCTTGACCTAGGAGGATTACTCCGTAGGAGTGAGAGGTGACAAACTTCTACATTAGTTGTGTTCTGTGTCAGTGTTAAGTGTTGTAGAAAGACTATCTTAAGATCACTGACAACATACAGGCATTTAATTTCTAGCAGTCTGATGTAATTGTGATCTTGCTTTAATTTCAAGCGTTCCATAACTTCTAGGACCAACAATGTGTGAATTTTATTTTTTTTTAACTGCTAGAGACCGCTTTTTAAGAGAAACTGGAGGAGGAGGTATTCAATCCTTTGAGCTGTCTAGTACCGAAAGGCACAGTGTGCACAGATTCTTAGGAAGTACTTTGTAATTTTATTTGAATACAGAATGATGCTACCTCTTACAGAGACTTCCTGTGATTTTGATGCCAATTGCAGAAATGCAGCTTGCTTCAGACTCTTCCCTATTAAATTTGGTTGTTTTGTTTACCTAAGGCCCTTACAAACATAAAATCACAGAATGGTTTGGGTTGGAAGGGACCTTGGCGCTCATCTAGTTCTAACCCCCTGCTGTGGGGACAGGCATTTTCCACTAGAGCAGGTTGCTCCAAGCCCTGTCCAACCTGGCCTTGAACACTGCCAGGGATGGGGCATCACAGCTTCTCTGGGCACCCTGTGCCAGCGCCTCACCAGACTCATAGTAAATAATTTTTTCTTAATGCCTGATCTAAATTTCCCTACTATCAGTTAAAAGGCATAACCCCTTGTCCCAAAGGAAGTGTTTTCCTTAGTAGGAACAAGCATGTGTTTATGGTTTGTTATTATACAGCCCCCTTTTTCTCATTAGCTTAAAATAAGCAGCTCTGAAAACACCTTACCTGCTCCTCCTCAACTGATTGGTGATTCGAGATGCAGCCTAAGGCTCCCATTAAGTAGGTGAAGATCAATTGCTTGTTTGCCTGGTTCTTAAGACTGCAAGTTTCTGGGAAATCTGATTTAGAAGGAAGGAATGCTTGTGATGCATTTTCCTTACTGTCCCCCAGTTTAAAAGGACAAGTTAGTTGCTGTTCAAGGGTGGTTAAGTTTGTTTCTTTTTCAGGTGTGGCTTTGTGCAGTGTTGGAGATAGTAGGGTGTATGTTATTAACTCTGATATGGTATAGATCTGCAGTAGTTCTGTTGATTATGCTGTAAAAATGTGTAATTGGGTGGATTGCATAAATAAAACAGCTCATATGACTGATATCTATAATTTGAAAGAAAATTCTGTCGTGGATTAACACGTGAACGTTGTGTTTTGATTACAAGGCAGCTAGAGGCTCGTGTCAGGTAGGCTCACTGCCTACAGGTCAATCAGTTATGAATGAAAGCTGCAGATGAAATAAGTGAACCAGTCTGATATAGTATCTTATGACAGTAAGTCGTGTAAGCTGCTGATAAAGTCAAATAACCTGGTCAGACTAGTGGTGAAAATAAATATATTGGAAAGGTAACCCGAGATGTCAGTCAGTGAGTCAAGCCACAAAATACTCCTTGTCATGCCTGTTGTAATTACCTCTTGTTTAAAGCGGAACTTCCCATTCTTTTCTCCTCCAAAACCAACTTGTGAAGAGAAGGTCATTTCTGTCTTAGAATCACAGGAGAAGGCAAAGGTCAGAGATACTCTATCAGGCTTTTTGCAGATTTTAGTTAAAATTTTCTGTGTTTATGCTATGGTTAACAGCAGTGTTTATGATTTACAGTGGAATTTTGGTTTGTTTTGCTTTTGGAAATGCAGTTCAAACCTGGATGGTGACTGATTTTGCAAATACCCTTCATTTATTACAGTAACTCCATTAAAATTCAGTCACAATATTCAGACACCTGCCACAGGCAATAATGGTTCAATTTTCCTGTGGTTCTCAGTAGGTATGATCTCAGTTTCAATTTGGAACTTTCTAATCTCAGGTGTGGTACTCTAAAATAAAACCTTTTTTAAAAATTTTCTTTTGCAAATAACTTCTCAGATATTAAAGAAGAATGAAATGGTAAGAGTTTGAAGTAAGAGGTTGTCAAGATACGATACTTCTCTTGCCCATGAGGTTCTTCTGAAATGTGTGAAAAACAAGTACACACATTTTTGTGCACAGCTTTGTACACAAACCTTGTGTACCCAGAAATTCCTCATAGTAGACTTTCATGCAAAAAATCTTCCAAATGTATCTCTCTAGATATCAGTTTGTATCAGTTTGGTCCCTTTTTATGGAAATTCAAGAGACTGCCCTTTCCACTTCTCTCTACTAATGTACTGAGTTTGTAGGGGAGGATTAGAATAGGTCACTAATGAGTGGCTTCATGTGAAGATCATTTAAGTTGATAGCCTGCCATTAACCTGAGTGTCCTTAAATTGGGGCCATGTGTCTTGAGACTGGACACAATGGCAGTTCTTTAGCAGGTATATTAGGTTACCAGTGTTTCCAAAGTTAGCACGACCTGACTTGGTTACTGTTTATCAGTCCCGTGAACTCTTATTTCTTTTTAACTTTTGCATCAGCAGTTCCTTGTAAAACAAAAAAACCCCGATAAGAAAACTTGAGAGTTACCTGGGTGGGTAGTGTTTTAAATGCTGCATTCACTAATCTACTGCAAGTATCGAAGAGAAAAGGCACTCTTAACTCTGACAGCCAAATCCCAGCCTGGGAGAAAACTGCAGAAAGATGAGACTTATGTGTGCAAATCAGTGCTCCTGACCTTTCAAAAGGCAGTATTTTTTCTTTTTCTTTTTAATTTTTTTTTCCTTAAATGAGAACTGTGATTCTGAAGAAGAATCAGTTCTGTGATACTGTCCTACATGTGTTTCTGGTGCAGTCTTCATTTGAGGTGTAGGCAATGCCTGCTCCTAATCCCTGAATGAAGGAGTTGATGAGATTTCTAATGTAGTTGTACAGTCTGGTCCTATGGTGTTCAGTCATGACAGACTCTTCTAAACAAAAAAACGTGGAAGGCCTATGTTTCAGGAGTTTGGTACGTGTTTCTGGTTTTGTCATCCAAAATATGTAATGATCCTGTGTGTTTCAGTTTGGTGTTCAAAAGAAGATGAGCTTTTTGTGTGATAAATGGCAGGAATCTGGCGTGGCCTATTGAAATATACATTAGGTCATGCAGCTATGTGGTGCTTTTATTATTTTTGTATTTAATTGTCTCCTTTAGCTCCATTAAAAGTGAACCAGCAGGCCTGGTAACCTGGTATATCATCTTGGGTCTGAGGGTTGATAGATTCTGTCCTCTTCTGAAGACCCTGGGAAGAGTTGTAGAAA